GCTGCTGCTGCTGCTGCTGCTGCTGTTGCTGTTGCTGCTGTTGCTGTTGCTGCTGCTGCTGCTGTTCGGGCTCGTGCTGCTGCAGTGACGTGGATTCGCTATGGTGATCGTTATGACGCAACAGCAGCAGCTGCTGCTGCAGATGACGGCAATGCTGTTTCTTTTCGTTGAGGAGCCTGCAGCAACCCAACAGCAGTAGCTCCCGTTGTTGCTGCGCTGCAGCAGCAGCAACCTCCATGCTGCGCACATTTTCCTGCAGCTGCTGCACCGCATCTGTTGCAGCAGCGCGAAAGCTCTCCAGAAGCTGCTGCTGCGCTCGTTGCTGCAGCAGCGCAGCAGCAAAAAAGCTCCGGCCAGCAGCAGCAGCAGACACAGGCTGCAGCACAATCGGGCGACATAGCGGCACGCACAACAGGCTGCTGCTCCTCAGAACCAACGTTAGAACCAGCTGCGTCCCATCAGCTGCTGCTGCTGCTGCAGCTTCTGCTGTTCCGGGTGGATGGCCTGAAGCCGACGCGGAGAGGGGCTGGGCAAGGTGCAGCACGAGCACCACTTTGTTGTTGCTGCTGCTGCTTTTGCTGCTTCCGCCAAGCGCTGCAGCAACACTTGCTGCAGCAGGTGCGCTGCCGCGAAGAGGCCCCAGAAGGTCAGAAGATCGCAGCAAGCCCCTGTAGTAGCTGCTGGAGGAGACCTGCAGCAAGAAGCTGCAGATGTGGGAATCTTCAATGTTGCTGCTGTTGCTGCTACTGCCAGTCCCGCCGCTGCTGCTGTCGTCGCGCAGAAGAATAAGGCTCTCTACTTCGCCTCCGTCTTGCTGCGCCGCCGCTGCAGCTGAGGGGAGAGCTGTCACCCCGGAATCTGCTTCAAGGGTGTCTGCTGCGCCTTCACATACTCCAGGAGCAGCAGCAGCAGCAGCAGCAGCACCAGCAGCAGGTTGGTGTTGACTCCACCAAGGAGATGACCAACGTGAGCAGATGCACAATGACACTCTGCTGAAGCCTTCAGCTGCTGCAGCAGCAGCCTCTGCTGCTGCCGCTGCAGCAGGAGCGCCAAGAGGGGCATCGGCCGCTGCCGCTGCAGCAGCTGCTGCNGCTGCTGTAGTACCCGCAGCAGCAGCTGCGGCTGCTCCCACTGGTGCTCCTTCTGCCGCAGCTCGTGCTGCTGCAGCTTCTACCTGTTCCTTCCGTTCCATCAAGGGCCCATTAGAAGGGCCTCTGAGGGGTGAACCGCTGCTGTTGCCTCCTCCACTGCTGCTGTTGCTGTTGAGCCGCAGCAGTTGCCGCCCCCCCTTCTGTTCCCTCTGCTGGGCGGAAGAAGGGTCCTTATGTCATGCTTGCTGCACATGCCACGCCAAAGATGCGTTTCCTTTGACTTGCCGAGAGCAACAGCTGCTGCTGGTCCGTTGCTGCAGCAGCGACAACTGTTGCATCTGCAGGAGACAGGGGCCACAGTCGGCTGCAGTTGGATGGAGGGTACAGAGAGCAGATGGGAACAAACAGCCTCGGGATCTTAAATAAGTGAGTCATTTGTTATTTTTGCTGCTGTTTTTGCTGTTGCTGCTGCAACACAAATCCGCTCTCAAGAATGGGCCCTGGCGGCCCCACGTTCGGCGGCAGCAGCAACGGCGGCCGCGCGAGCAGCAGCAGCAGCAGCAGCAGATGCTGATGCGGTTGTTGGATGTTGCTGATGCAGTACAAATTAGGCGCTAAAGCGTGCCACCATAGTCAATTCATCCTTGTTGCAGGCTGCTGGAACGAAACACGCAGCAGCAACAGCCGCAACCATACGGCGGCGGCGTTGGTCTCCGGTCTTTACGGGCTCTTCTAGGAAACTTTTGGGCTCTAGCGCTCCTGCTGCTTTTCCATCACAACCTGGAACAAAGTCAGCAGCATCAGCAGCTGCGGAGTCGCTGCTGCTGCAGCAGGTGCAGCAGCAGCACGGGATGCATCCCAGCAGCGAGTAGTGCCGACAGCTGGTAGGCACCCCACAGAACCCCAGACATTGTCTTCTGCTGCAGCAAGAGCCCCTGTACCAACTCAGCCAGCAGCAGTAGCGCCAGAAGCACCGGCAGCGACGACAGCAGCAGCAGCAGCAGTAGTGAGGCATGCGGGTCCCTGCAGCATAGCTGCCGCAACCGGTGCAGCAGCGTCCATGGGGCGCAAGGCAGCAGGGAAGAAGCCGATACCCAGCAGTAATCAAAACACAGCAAGCGATGCAGCCGCAGCAGAAGGTGCTGCTGCTGCTGCTCCTGCAGCCCCGCCTCCAGAAGCGGCAGTAGCAGCACCATCAAGTCCCCCCGCGCGACAGACAGCAGCGGCAGCCGCTGCTGCTGCTGGCCCAGGGCCTCCAGCAGCAGCATCTACTGCTGTATCTTCCCTGTGGGATGACAATAACTGGGGGGAGCAGCCGCAGCAGCGGCATGCCCGGCGCAAGTCGAGGAAGCAGCAACAGTTGGAAGCAGCAACGAAGCGGCGGGCCAGACAAGCCCTTGCTGCCAGCACCAGTAGCAGCAGCAGCAGCAGTAGCAGTAGTAGCAGCGCTGCGGGGAGCATCAACAGCAGCAGCTGCTGCTTTAACGTCACTGAATGCATATGCGGGGCGCAGCTTCACCCAGGAACAAGTGGTCACGAAGATATAGCTATACGCGTGCTGCAGCGGCAGCAACAGCTGCTGCAGAAACAGCAACAGCATCAGCTGCCTCTTCTGCAGCCAAAAAAGCAACAGCTCTGCTCTGACGAGCTCATGGATGAGATAAGGGCTCTCGATGCCCTCTACCCCCCACTTTTGCTGCTGCAGC